CACAAACTAAGTCTGAAAAAAATAAATATAAGTTCACCAAGGGATACTTCAAACAGAGAGAACAGCAGGTACAAAGGCTCAGTGTCCTGACAGATGTGGCATGCTCAGGGAATGCCAAGGATTTGAGTGGCAGATGAGGCCGGAAGTGAATAGGCAGGACTGGGGCAGAGAGACCTGGCCCAGATGCCTCTCATTATTTCATCTGCACCCCCCACCTAACTTCCCCTGCTTGTTCCAGGATTATTTTATAAAGTGGAAGGTGGGTGGCTCTTTAACCCTATAAATGCTGGCCCTTCCCAGGCTGCCTGAGTAGCCCACAGTGGAGCTGTCAAGGGCTTCTCAGGTTCAGGCTGGCAGCTGGACACTGTCCCTGTCTGGCTGGGGCACAGTGCCTCTGGGCAGTTGAGCAAAAGCAGGACCCTCAGCAGACAAACAAGCTGGTCTCTATTGGTGGGCCAGCCAGCAGGCCTGCAGGAAGGTTGAAGGTCATGGGGTTTGGGGGGAACTGGGTGAGGAGTTCAGGCCCACACCTTGTAAACCTTTCCAGGAAGTACTTTTCTACTGGGGCAGCACCCAGATCCTGGGGCACTCATTAACCCTCTGGGTACCAGGAAAGGGCAGGAGGTGAGCACTGGGAGGCAGCTGAGGTCATCCTTCTTTGAACCTCCACGTGGTATTTACTCAGAGCAATTGTTGCCAGAGGCCTAGATCCTGGACTATTAAGCGGAATGTCTGTTCTCTGTGCCCAGAACTGAGTAGGTGAGCAGCCGGGGTAGAGGGATGCGGGTTGGAGTCCTAAGGGCGGGGATTGAGGGGTCTCAGCAGAGAGCTGGGGGTGGGAACTAAGAACTAAGGATCTGCTCTCGGAGCACTTTGGCAGAGTTGCTTCTTCCTCCCGGGATACCTCAGTTTTCTCAGCTGTGAAATGGGGGCAGGAACAGGTCAGCAGGGGAGTGATGGCAGAAGTGGCCGGGGGAGCTGCTCCTGGGGTCTGGGGAGGGTGGGGGGGGCGGAATTTTTACAAAGCAGTTTGAGCTCCACACTCCGTATGATGAAACTGAAGTGAAAAAGGAGCCCCCCAACCCCCCACAAGGAAGACACCCTTTCTCTCTGAGCCACGTTCACCTAGGTCAGTCCTCCTGAGCCCTGACAGCTCAGTAACCACAGGGAAGGATTAACAGGTTTTGGGCAGGTCCCCTGGGAGACGTCCTTTCTTCGCTTCTTCACCCTCACCAGGCCTCCATTCACCTTTCTTCTCAGAGTACATCATGGCAAGTGTGGCTGCATTTCTGACCCGGGCTCTGGTCCTCCTCTCAGGTGGGTCTCCAACCCTGACATCAGTGTGGAGGTGTGGGCGGAGGCTGGACTTAGGGGCCTGTCCACCTCGGGGGAGGAAACCTGGTCCCTATTCATCCCTTCCCTCTCCACAGTGCTATCAACCACCCAGGCACAGAAAGGCTTCTGGGACTACTTCAGCCAGAGCAGCGGGGACAAAAGCAGGGTGGAGCAGATCCAGCAGCAGAAGCTGGCCTGGGAGCCCACGTGAGTGGCCAGGAAAAGGGTGTGTGGGCGAAGGGAGGAGACACCTTGTGGGGTGGGGTGATGCACTGCCGGATTCCCTCAACCTCATGGTCCTCTCTGGGAAGAGAAAAGAGCGGCGCTGGTTCTGCCTATTATCCCGGCAGTCCTGGGTTGTTCAGCACCCTCTGCTGGCAGCAGCCTCCTTCTTGACTTCTCTATGGCTGGTGCCTCTTTGCCCAATGAGCTGTGGGACCTGGGAGCAGTGGAGAGGACCTCCACGCCCCCACCCCAACACTCCCCCCCCCCCGAACCCCCCCACCACAC